GCAGCAGCGGCGAGATTGGCGCAGTGATGACAGCTAATGACGCGGTGTGTCAGCTGCTGACGCATGGCCCGAGGAGCCCGTACTCGGAACTTCCTGAGACGTGCCGCGGGCGATACTACGGACAGAAAATACTGTGTAAAGACAGGGATGCTGAAGGCGGGAGGAAGATACTGCAGTCAGTGGATACCGCGGGCAGAGAATACCGAGGGATGAATAAGATATTGCAGGCCGGTTCATACCTATCAGTAAATTTTTAACCTTTAGATGCCAGTTCTCAAACGGTTCACCACGAACAACTCAGTCTCCCTTTCATGCGAACGGCATTGAATAATAAAGTGAAACCATTATTGGACTTCGGTAGTCGCGCAGCAATCTCCCTCAGCCGCCTCAGTGACTCGAATAATTACACTGGGATCGAGGGATTCCGAAAATAATGCCGCGTTTAATTTCAGCTTCCTTCCCGTCTCAGATCTTCCACGAGTCGATTCTATTCTACCCAGCCACGAGGTGCGTACTCCATATAGGCACACACAATGCCCAACAGCTAGAGAAGCCCTCTTTGTGCTGCTGCACGACACAAGTAGCCCCCCGCAGGCCGCAGATGGAGCCTCGCATCTCTGAGATGATTGGTGTCTCATGCACTCCCAGGCATATAGACTAATGCGACAGGATGTTTTGCCTGATTTCCATATCCTCTCTGTTGCTCATCAGGCGGAAAATGAGGTTCGGCCCTCTGTTATAGCGCTCCAGCTGGGTTAGCAACAGCTCAGATGATAAATATCCGATGTCGATGCTATTGGAAAGGAAACGTTCAGTGCACGGTGTATTCATTAGCCAGCTAAAAAAATGGAGACTTGATAAGTGCTACAGTATTATATATCTATCCAACAATGTCTTGTGCTGTCAATCCTCATATTAATGAATTTTATCATTTATTGTTCGGAGTATTTTTGGGGTAAAACTTGACCGGCCCACATAGTCAGACACAGTTATGCGTTCAACTCACTGCCATAACCTGACGGCGGTTGCTCTATACCCGCAGACAATACCCGTCAAAACTTTCATACATCGAGCGGCGGAGCGACTCGATCCCGTGCTCTCGGCACCTCGAGTTCAGCGTTCTATCAACTGAGCTACGGGACGGGCGCTTCAACGTGCAGCTGCCCGATAAACCAGTATTGACTGATCACTTCCGCTACGAGTAAAAATGCATTGTTTTCATCCGGTCATCGAGCCGTTCCTAACAAAGTCAAAAACAAAATCATTATTTTATTGAGAGTAAAAGATAGATCATGTTGGTGAGTGCCGTCTCTAAAATTTCCCATGGACCAATTGGTCGCATTAATAAAAAATGTACCTAACTTACTGAGTAGTGATAAGGCAAACGTCGACATCACCAATGCTGAACTAATGTCGGCTATAGATCATAGATGGCGCTGGGAGCGTGCCCCTGAAGTCATATGCTGTACCGCAATACACCAACCGCTGAGTAAGCGGCTCTGCCGCGGCTTTGCGATGTGCATGCATGTACAGTTCAACCCTAGCTTTCAGTGCATTTCACATTGGTCTTTGTGTTACGATTCAAAAAGCATGAGACATTCAAGTGGCTATGACCATAAGCTTTCCGTTGCAGAATCCACACGGGCAATTGGGCGCCTGACGTCAGACTCTAACCGATAGTCGCTCGGTATGAGTTATTGGACCGACCAGACTGATGCAACGCATTTCTAACATAAATGCCTACTAGATGGTGACACAAAACGAATAGTTGAGTCAAACTTTTTTTACAGTCTTTCTATTGGTAAACGGAGCAGAGCCGAAACATTAATCAATGGAAAGTCCCACATCCATTCCAAAAATATTGGCAGTTATTTGCCCAAAGCATGGTCAGTTATGGTGTGCACGCATACATACGTCTAAACGAGTTTTACACGACACAACATTGAATATTCATAACAACATAAAACATCATTCGTAGGCTACAGCCCCCCCCCCGAAAAAAATCACCAGCAGGTCAACACAAGGCAGGGTGATCTCTGAAGTCTCCGACAACTTTCAGCCCGCATACCCGCGCACTCCGGAGCGGCCGACCGATCCTGCCGGCCCCGATTAGGTCAAAGGTCGCGCGCTGGGCGCTGCGGCGGCAGGCTGTAAACCTGTGCCGTATTCGTGACTGCGTGCACCGTATTACGGCACGCCCCACGCATAACAGATCCGTGTGAGGCACGCAGCGCGCGCAGTCTGCAATCCCTGGGAGAGGATGTCAACACGCGTTGGTCATCTTATAGCTGTGCGTCACGTAATTCGGTAAGCACCTTTAAAACTCTTCTTTACTTTTTGCTAACTATTCGGAAGCAGAGCGACACTGCTCATTTTCATTTATTCGAATGGTTCTGAATCAATCAGTTTAAGAGTTTATTTTTTTTTTGCACAACTATCCGAAAAACCTACTTCAATCAACAGTTCTTTTGGAAGGATAATTTGTAGAGCTAAACGATTATGATTTGCTTATGTTCCCTCAGTCCCACGACATAGCTAATTGCTTCAGCGCTATCAGGCCATTAACCCGATGCCGATGCTTCAAAATATCCAAAATAACTGCTCCGATACGAATGCTTCCAGCCACAGCTCCGGCGCCTTGGGATGTTCGGATTCATTTTTACAGAGAACAATGGCTAGTGTCTGACATATTAAGCACACAACAATTACAATTTCAACGTCGCTGTAAATTCCTTGACGCGAACGACCGTGTCAACACAAGTCCTCCCCTCATCTCTGCGGGGGTCGCGAGGGGACAGCCACACCAACCAACGTGTTTACGAACGGATAATCAACGTCACATTAGTGGTTGAGCAAACACAACACCAAGTCGATTGCCGACCGAATGTGCCAAGTGTCGGTCTCGGTGTAATTTTCGTCAGCCAGGTCCTATATGTCACTGTTTTGGACACAGCCGCACCGATAGGTAGTTCCTCAGCAGCTCGGAGTGCGATTCGGGCGTCCAGGAGGCCCAATCTGAGCTGGTTTCAGCCGTGTGGTAAACAAAAGGGAGACGGGTTGATAGGGCCATGATTGGCCTTATTGCACGCCGTCAATGCTGACGTCCCAACGGGAGGATGCGGACAAAATCAACAATACTTTTGGCTGGACTTTTTGTGGACCTACGACAAGTACCACGCAAAAATAACACTTGCGGTGTTATCGATACTGGAACTTAATTGTTTCTATTTCACCCTCTAGCAAAGACAAGGTTTTGTGTCCGTCAGTATGACCAATAAAAGTAACCTTAATAACCAGAAAGATTAGAGCATTAAATACAACTTAATGCTATTCTTTATCATAAATATTATCACCAGTGGAATGAAAATAACAATTCGAAAATGGCCGTGGAGCTTGCAGTCTGGGTATTTCAAGACGGCTCGACTGACGATGAGAATGAGAGTTTCGAACCAGTATAACGCCTTTTGGGGTGACTAACGGAGCGAGCGAGAGGGTGAGCCTTGCACGTGCGAAATTTCGACGGGGTACCTCCAGCTGACTTGTGCACGGCACCCTACTAATCGGTCTCTAGCGATGTGCCAAATTTGAGCACAATCGGCCCAGCCGTTCTCGAGATCTGGAAGCGGCACTCTGCACGTGCGCACGTGCAAAATGGATCCCAACTGACCTATGCACGGCACCCAACTAACCGGTCCCTAACCATGTGCCAAATTTGAGCGCCATCGGTCCAGCCGTTCTCGAGATCTGGAAACGACCCCTGCACGTGCGCACGTGCAGCAGCACCCCAACTCTGTCACATGGATATGCATTGCCTAGTGGGTGCCTACCTACATGCCAACTTTCAGCGCAATCGGCCAAGTAGTTACCGAGATATTGCAACAATTACAAAAGTGACACCTCTTCGTTTTGCACGTGGCACGTGCATAAGGGGTCACCCACCTGTATCGGGAATAGTCCAATACTTGGTAGAAGGAATGAAGCTACCCTACAAAAATTACCGCGTGTAAATCGGTCAAGTGGTTGCTGAGATATAAGCGTCGCAGAATCGTGACCACGGCCGGCCGGCCGGCCGCTCATACTCAGAAATTGGAAAGACTACGCTCGCTTCGCTCGCTCCGTAATTAGCATCGACAGTGCAACAAGACCCTGCACGAATTCCGCCAGGAGAAATTTAACATCGTGGATGTGTACGCTGGATCCACGGACGTATAAATAAACGCTGGATCTCATACAACAGTAGTGTTGAGTTAGACATGAAGTTAGTGATCCCTTCCTCGAACGTGAAACTGATCTCTGGAAGAATGTCGCCATATTATATTCCATATCATATTCCATTATATTCCATATTACGCCCATTATATTCCATAATGGACGTCAAACAGAATAGGAGATTTGAACTGTCTAGCCTCTAGCCATGTCAATATTTCAAAATCACTTTTCGCCAAGATACGGATCAACGGTTACGTAAATTTATATTTGATTGTTTAAATTTGAGCGGTTTGAATATTGGATTCAATAAATGGTAGAGAGATATGGCAAGTGCACTTCTCAGTATACAGTAATGTAATACGAGTATAAGACCGTTCATACATAGGTAAGTGCTGATAGCATGTGCCACGCAAATGTCATTTACGAGTCGAGTATGCTCCGTTTTCCCGAAGTAGGTCGTTCAGCGTCGAATGAAAGACAGCTACGCATTTTGTGTGGTAGTGTGGTTTTCATTTACTAATACAATCAGTTTTTAATTCCATGAACAACTGTCTGCAAGTGCAGTGCATCAACGGTATTTTAATGAACTAAAGACGTTACTTCTGCAGATCACAAAGGTTCATGCCTCGTACGATCGGTGTCGGCTGTTGATGTTCCCATATTGCAACACAGGTGATCATACGCATGAAACAGCATTACGTTTTCGGCAAATACCACCCAACCCAGTTCACGGCTCAACGTCACGGCCGATGAGTCCTAGAGTACGCCTTAATAATCTAGCATACACAAAATATCATTGATGTAATGTATTGATTCCACCTTGGATCCTATAAACGCTTTAAAAACGCTACGCACACACACACACACACCGCTTACACACCATTACTGGACTCCTCGGGAAAGGCCCGCCGGCGTACGCGCCTCAGCTCACACACGCTACTTTAGCCAACAGCGAAACCGTTTCAAGATGAACCCAACGCCCCCGGCTATCCAAATCACAACCCTGTTGAAAATCGGCTAGCGTCTGCTGGCCTTAGATCAAAACCTGTCGAAAATGTGGGCCATCTGTCACGCCTCAGTGGCCAGACAATCGTTTACCGTCACAGCGCCGAAAACGCCCCGACTGCGAACTGATGTTACAGTGAGAGCACCCGGCCAACGCCCAGCGCGGACTGATGTTATGCCAGACAGTAGACCCGGCCAACGCCCGGATATCAGACTGATGTTCCACCAGTCGGCGACGGCGGACAGACAACAACGCACGCCGACCGTCGTGACACATTGGGGTCGCGGACGACAAGGCCTTGTCTCAGTACTGGACGTCTGACACACCGAAAAATCAGCAACATATCCTTCACCGTACCACTTCTAGAATCAATTCACGCCCAGGATTAAATAGTTTATCGTACTACGCTACCTTTGGCCAAGGAGAAGCTCTGGCTGCGTTCCGTGCTACTTGCTCAGCCGCTGCGCTCGTCTAGGGGCGTCCAGGGCGTCTGTCTAGGGGCGATTGGCGTCGTCTAGGGGTGTTCAGTGCACGCTCGAGACCGGGGCGCCTATCCAAGACGCTCAGGACTGTCTAGGGTCGCTCTGTGCGCCACACGTTTCTCGTAAACTGCATGCCGCTGTCCAGGTGCGTCAGAACGTTGTGCACCACGCCAGGGTTTTCGTCGTCCGGCCGAGCACGTGTCTGACGAGCGGGAGCCTCCAGAATCCGCTGTACCTCCACGGGAACACGGTGAGTGTCGTTCTGTCGGAAAAGGGGCGGCGAAGTCAGGGGTGTAGTCAGTGTGAAGGGGAGGGGGATGTCGGATGCAACAGGGACACATACCACAGGGTGATCGTGTACAACATGGTCATAACATGGTGTATTCCTAGGGGGAAGGTGACACGGGTTACGAACGCGTTACCTCAGATGTGTCCTGAAAAATGCCAATAGAGCTTAAAACTTTATGATGAAGTCGGCCTGAGTCGGAATAAGAACGTTCAATTTAAAACCAGAGCCATCGACCATTTGGGGTACCTATCCGCCAGATGTCTCTGGCTGGCGAGGTAGCCCACAGCTCTCCCCGTAAAAAATCCGTTCCGTCATTTCCATCCTCAGACCTCAGGATAGTGGAATCCATTTCCTCCATGCCTCAACCCCCTGTTCCGGGGTGGACGAGCAACTTTATTCCATGCGAAAGCTCTTCTAGGAGCAGGCCCGTAGCGGGGTGCGGTGAAAATCAGGGGGCTTGGTGGCCTGTCCACTGGATGGGCTAAGCGCCGACGACTCACCAGGGTGCCCCACTGCCCGCCCAGACCAATATCTCTCCCTAATTCCTACCATCCACCCGGCTCTGCCGGTCTTATTCGACTGAAACAGTATAACCCAACAAAACAAAAAACCAGAGCTACACCAGCCAGATAATGCAGTTCACGCCTACCGAGAACCAGAGTATCGTTTCTCAGTCCTGCAAACGAAATCAATTACCTTTAATGCTCTGCGCATTGGAGTACATCGGTTTGCTTTCAATCGCCTGGTTCAAGTCAGTTAGTATTGCTGGATTCTACAGAGGCAACAGTTTGAACAATAAAAAAAAAAAACGATCAGGAATGATGATTACTGGGCGCCCATCACCGAACATTTCCGGTACAGACAAAGGTCAGTAATAGTATTGGACCCGATCGGACTGAGACAAATCTGCATATATTTACGAGCACTGCGTAATGGAAAACCGGTGTCCATGGCCGGAGTCCCAGGAAACGTTCATAAGCCGGCAATACATGCCTACTTCCAAACTCCCAGAACTTCAGCTTTGTGAGCGCATTAATCGGCAAACTTCACTAGTACGCATACTTGGCAGTGCCCTTTAATCTGCCCGATATAGACCCGGATGGTACGCCACTGATCTGGGCCGGTCGCGGCTCAGTTCCGCGTCCACACAATGGGTTAGAACAGACGACAGGGCCGGAGTGGGACCATGGCGCAGGTAGCCAGGTGCTGAGGCGAGCCGCGGCCGACCCGGCGACTCCGGTAATAGCTCATCAGGGACCGGTGGCGCAGCGCAGTCGACCGAGGCAGGCCATTTGAGTACGGCTAACCGAGAGCGATACGGCGAGTTGTGAGAAACTTGTCACCCAGCCCCAGCCGAGTCAGGGAGACGACAGTTTGCAACAAAAGACCAGACTTAATGATCAGATTAACAGAGTCGACGGGATGACTCCTGGCAATTAACAATTTACACAATCCAGGTGAGCGCAGGTAAAACAGCTGTGAGTGCTTGGCGCTTGACGGTGGAAATCACCTTATCATAGGGCAATGTAGCATGAAGTCGAAAAATCAGCGATTAATAGTTCTATAGCCTTGGACTAACTAGTGACTACGCTGAGACTAAGCACAACCCCTATACTTCATATAGCAGCACGGCGCATCACCGAAAACCTGAAACAAGTGAGGACATCCCGGCGTTACACCTTTGCTAAATGGCCTGACAACAGGTGCCCAGCAACTATGAACCCGTACGTGAATGCCCGCAGAAGGCAGCTTTTACCACTTAGCACCTTCTGCCGTAATACAAAAGGGAAAGAACAGTTCATCAAAAGACGTCGAAAGGGATAAGCAAGCGACACATCGCTAATGTTTTCTATAAATGTAGAGGACACGTTAATACGGAAAATGGCCCATAGCTGGACGCTGGACACTGGACAGGGGCCAATACATCACAACGAAACACTGCCGGTTGTGATACGACCCCACGCGGCATGCCTGACCCACAGCACTATTCCAGTGTGCCGTGATCTAGAGCCCAGGACACACATCTTCCCGTCGGCCCAGCCCAGCCAGCCGTCTGGCTAGACGCCGGCACGAGACACATAATCCACTCCGGGCACTCTCCAGACCACATTTCTGATTCAGGCAAACAGCCTGGGGCTAATTCTGTCGTCTGTCGCCAGTTCAGATTCAGAGCAGCTGCCAAGAGGGACACTGCGCCGCCGCTTATGATTTGCGTCACAAATACACAGAGAACGGGCACGTTTCACCTGGTTTTGAGGCTCGACGGAAAGCCGCTTAGAGAGCACTAAGCGGCCACCAAAGAACGGTTAGACTAAGGGCAACGGCATAATGGATTAAGATGAAGCGCTATTCAGAACTAACCAAAACACTGAAAAGCAGGGGAACAAAGCATGCTTATTGAGCTCAACACAGTCAAAAATATGGATGTGGCTGAGTCAAACTATTTTAAGTAAAATATCAATTTGGAAATCACTGTTACATATCATTCCTTTTCGTTACCTACATCATGCGCGACCATCGCCCTTTCAGGATCTAATCCTTAAGAGAAAAGCGCATTTGCGGAGCACTCGTGCGCCGAAAGTGTCGCACCTGCGTCGCAGGCGTCTCTAAATCACGGCTAGTGGCCTGTGTCCGCCACAGAACGATTTACGGGGGCTCGGGTGCCCACCGACTCGCTGGAGCGCGGGGGGAGGAGGCTGGCGGACTGGACGGGGGTGACGGACTGTACGGTAGGGGGCAGGGGGGATGCTGGTGGACTGGACGGGAGTAGCGGATTGCGCGGCAGGGGGAAGACTGGCGGACTGGACGGAGATGACAGACTGCACGGTAGAGGGCGGGGTGGGTGCTGGTGGACTGGACGGGAGGAGTGGTGAGGCGGACGGACTGCAAGAGAGAGGGCCTAAAGGCACTGAACGGAGTGAGGAGCCGGCTGACGGGACGGGGACACGGTTGGGCAGCGAGAGAGACCACTGCCAGCAATGGACGGATGCTCGTCTAAAGGAGCAGTTGGATTTTCAGTTTCCAGCTGGATTCACGGTTTCCGGCCCCACGACGAGCCGTAACGTCATGCATCGCTGACCGTCGGTCTCACATCTATCTGAAAACCGATGTTACCACGAACTGAATAAACAACGGCTCCGAGATTTACAACCCATAAAATATTGCTTGAACTTCAAAAATATGGTCGTTGATAAACCCCGGCCAACAAAAGCTACAAATATCTGACCCAGAACAAAATAAAAAGCAAATAACAGCCAGATAGACCGAGACCGTTTCCTTTTATCAAAAAATAGTTTTGAAGAGCGCAAAAATAGCGCTAACATCGATTGACATTAAGGTTAACGGCAAACACATAAGTAAAATATGACAGACAAACTGTCAATGGCCAAGCACTAGCCAGTCGCGGAGTTAAATCAGCCCACCGGTGTGTCCAGATAGGATAATGGCATCCGACGGACATCGCTATCGAGCGCTGACCGGGCACATCGGACTAACGTATCGATCCAATCGGGCAAACGCCATCAGCGGAGTACAGCTGGACGGAGCGGCGGCAGTTCCGGCGCATCACCGGCTAACTCAGCGCAGCGGCGACTGTTCAGGCACAACAAAGGTTGCACAAGGTGCAACAGCGACTGTTCAACGAAAGAGCGGATAAGCTGCAACAGTGACCAACAGGGGCTGGCCCGAAGCAACAGCGGATAACCTGTAACTGCGGTCAACCCGACGCAACAGGGACTCTTTGGACGCAGCAGAGGTTGTTCAGGTGCACCACCGGATAATCGGGCACAACGAGGGCTAGCCTGGAGCAACAGGAACCATTTCAAAGCTGCGGCGACTGAGCCGACATAATGCCCCTTCCCCCCCCCCCCCCCGACGGCGGCTCGGAGACTATGGAGGCAGCTGCTCGGAGACTATAGCATCAGCTCAGAGGCCACGGAAGCAGCAGCTCAGAGACTACGCAGGTAGCAGCAGCGGCGACACGCTGACACAGCTGTGGAGCAACGTATCCGACGGCAGAGCTGACGCCGAAACGGGAGCGACGGGCAAATCACGTAATGCATTCCAGGAAGATCAAGCGAGAATAATACATATCATCCCTTATGATGGGATAACAAATACCCACGAATATATCATATGAACGAGTTGAGCAACAATGGAGGCCAGCCTTCCGTGAAAATAAAACAGGAGGAAAAGAAAACAACAAAAACCTTGTGCGCACAGCGCAGTGAATCATTGGTAGACTATTACATATAGTCACTTGAAACAAATAACATAATTCATGAGACAAGCATCTAGACTTTTGTCCCATTTCGATGCAAATTTGATGAAATACGAACTGCGAAATATTTTTTACTGTTGGCTTTTGACAAAGCTGAGTGAAAGAACATACGCGGAAGTATATAACATTTTAAAAGTTGTCGAACTGAATGAAGTCGAGTTCAGGGTAGGATGACTTTGTTGGGTAGTTCCTAGCCTCTACCGTACCGTCGGGAAATTACAGGTGGCCTAGAAGTTCGGCGTACCCAGTGACCAGAGCGCCGGACACGGTCCATCCTCCTCTCTGACCTCAACTGGCCGCAGCAGTTCCCAACAACCGCATACCGTCCCCGATTCAGGAGTATCATGCACCGAGTGTCGGAGCGAGCCGGACTAGTCTCCTACAGACATCTAAACCAACCACCAGCCGGGAGTCGACAGACGACAAAAGGCAGACCAGCGTCTGAGTCAGCAAAGAACGCAGTAAAAGGTCGGCTAGTCGGTGACAAGCTTATCATATGATCGCTTCTTCAAACCATCGATCCAGCCAGTCGAGCCGGGTGTGCCAGCCATTCGTCGTTACAAAACGGACGGCATCTCCCTCCCTTCTCCGGGAGCATCCTTGAGGCGGCGGGTCGCACGCAGGATAGAGGAGCACCAAACGCTATTCATGTAGCCCAGTCGTTCCCGAAATTAAAGGGACTATCCCACCTTCTAAAATGTTGTTAAAACTAGTTAAATTGTGCGCGACTTTATAGATTGGATGACCAGAAACACGGTTCTGGCATTTATTTTTCATTAAACATCTTCGGCTTCCCATATTCCAAACACAAACTTTCAAATACGTGACGTCACAGCCCAAAATTACCTCCTTCCCCAGGCCACATTACTGTCATAAAGCTGATTCTTTTTACTCTGTAAGCACCACAACAAAGTTCAGACCAAGTTTTAAGCGATTTTTCAACGAACAAACCCATTTAAATCAGAATGACTAAACGAGGTGACGTCACACTAACGGTCGCTCCATGTTGAAGATAGGGCCTTGTACAAGGCCCATTTTCAAATGAAGGGAACGAATTTCTTCAACACCAAGAGGCCGCGGGGGTTGCAACCTAGATAGATAGTGGTTTCTGAACCTCGCCGCAAACTTGGCTATCTCAACTCAAACCCCATGTTAAAGGTGGGATAGTCCCTTTAACTGGAGTGTATGTCTATTGACAACAAACCAGCCCACAACCCCCAGTCAAAACATATCCCCGACAAAGTCTGCTGTCGAAATACCAACTGTTACAGCAAAATTGAACAAATTTTCTACAACGTATATCCCATCACCACACTCTAATTCAAAGACATGAGATGTCAAACCTGACACAGAGGAGATTAAAAATCTGATATGATAACTTCTGCGACGCACAGTAAGGCAAATCTCGGAAGTTTGGGAAGAAGATCAAATGCTGAGCGCATCAAAGGCACGTTCCACTAATCTCCGTCACACAAATGTAAACAAAACATCTCGCCGGCCTCGGTCGAGCCAATCAGTGCTACTTCGGCCGTTCAGTCGCGGACAGCAGAACCGTAACGAGATGCGATTACTCCTCTCTAACAGTCAGTCGTCTGCTCGATACAAACGTCACGACTGAGCCGGCGCGAGGGCATCCGAGACATTCCAGCACTCTGCTCTATTCACCGAGAAAGGAGACGTCCTTTGAGACTTTGCTGTCGTAGTATAGTTCGTTTTTCTTAAGTTTGCCCCTCACTGTAAACGTCTTCTTGAACACAGCACGAGAATTGCTAGCTGAATTACTGAGAAAACTGGTTGGCGCACAATGTATTGGATATATGAACAATATTTTCAAAATAAGTTTTGAGCACAAACGATGTAACGTTAATGTTAAACGCCGTGCAATTTATTAATTAGTTCAGACATAATTCCTGAGAAGTCGTCTATCACTGTGGAACTGTAGGTATGGGCAACTACGAGCTATGTGTCTGTGAAATAGTAAACAAATTTGATAAAATTGATCGTCTGTGAAATCTGGTGAAATCAATGTGCGCCAATCAGTTTTCTCAGTAATTCAGCTAGCAATTCTCGTGCTGTGTTCAAAAAGACGTTTACAGTGAGGGGCAAACTTAAGAAAAACGAACTATAGTCATATAACGTCTCTTGCCACCCAGCCAACGCAGCCGACATGTAAATATATCGGGAGGATCTAATGACTGACAGGCATTTGTGGACTGATTTAGGCATTAGCTGCCATGTCCCTCTCCTCGCTCTATCCACCCGCACTGCAGTCTCCCACCTGCTCTCTCTCCCCGTCCCTGCACCCACTGATACTGCAGTCTCCTCCCCTCCTCCCGCCCCTCTACCCACCAGCGCTGCGGTCTCCTCCCCTGCTCTGTCCCTCTACCCACTGGCGCTGCGGCGACGTCCTCACTCCTCACCTGGTCTTTTTTTTCCTCTCTCTCTCTCTCTCTCTCTCTCTCTCTCTCTCTCTCTCTCTCTCTCTCTCTCTCTCTCTCTCTCTCTCTCTCTCTCTCTCTCTCCCTCTACCCACCGGCGCTGCGGCAGCGTCTTCATCATCACAGTCCCGGACCGAGTCAAGGAAGACGTCCACGCAGCGGACGAAGGTGCTCATCATGCCCTCCAGCTGCTTCTCACGCAGTTCCCTCAGGTAGACGACGTTCTTGACGGCGGCCTCGAGCAGCGACTCGGGCAGCGGCCGGCGCATCCAGACGGCCTGATCCTGACGCAACCGCTCCTGGCGGTGCCGGGGGAAGAACACCTGTGGAAAGGATACCGAGACAGGGTCAGTGATGAGTGAGGAGTAGAGCAGGGGTTGATGTAGAGCCGGGGTTAAGAAAGGAGGGAGCGAGAGAGGGTGGAAGAGAGGAAAGGAGGGAACGAGGGATGGGGTAGAGGGGGGGGGTAGAGGGGGAACGAGGGAAGGAAAATAACGCATACAATCTAAGTCAAACTACTGAAATTATCGGGCACGTATCATCAGCGTGGTTGTGTTCCACTGGTCTGAGCACTAGCCATAGCCAGCATACGCGGCCTCGTTTAGTTGTGAGTTGTGACAGGTATTCTCATTTATTTGTCCGCAGTATATTCACGGATACGTGGGCGGAATGCCTGCCAATGCGACTGATAAGTTCGGCTGCGAGCGGTCTAAGGACGGCATAATTATGCCACTTCCAAGACTGTCATACTCCTGCAACAACTGGAAACGGGAACGATTTAAGTCGTGTCGAGCAGACGCGCAATATCAATTGGCTATTCATGGAGCTTTGCAACATGGTCTTTATGACATGCGTGTTTCATGACGCTAAAGGCAGGCAAATCAGTAACACTGCACCTTTTGACCTTCAGGGACGGTACTATCCCGTATTAGCTCATGGCCGTATGAAAATGATAAGCTCATAAATCGCGCTAAAATAGCAGCTGAACTATCAAGCGTGAGTGACGACCAAATTATGACCACTAGAATGTTACATGGTGCTGTACTGAACAACGCCGCATTAAAGGTAGTGTGCCAGCTTTCTTGGACCGTATGGAGTTAATGGCCCAGATAAGGAGAACCGGATTTTTAGAACTTATCCATACCTTCAAAACTCATGGAAACGTCTTAAATTCTTCAAATTTTGAGTACCCCAGTGCGAAATTCGCCCCGACGGGTTGTCGGTCGTACCCCAACCACATTTCACACCACTATGAACAATAAATGCACACACTGAAATCGCTATTACCGATATGCTCATCCAATCAAGTTTCGATAAACCCGTTCATCATCATCTCCTGCGGTTTCGAACACGCCTGTTAGGTGGCTTCTGATGCTCGTCGAGGTCGGAATTTCCAAATACGCGTGGTGCGTCGGGCCGCGCGCTCTGACTTCGGCCAAGAAAAATGCGTCAGCTGATCATTGTCATTTCTGCCACTTGCGTGTGGTGAAATGGGGTCATAACTTATAAGACGGCTTTTTCATATCAATTATTTTACATAAAATCATATTTCAAACCATAAATAATGTTCGACAGCCAAATAAAAGAAACAATACAATACGGGCTTACAGTTTAAGGCTCGACATTGTGTTGTCTACGATTAGACAGCTGATAACTCATTCCCGTACGTCGTATGGTCGTAACACTATAATGACCTTTGCTTATTGTCACAAGTGCGCCGCATTCGCGATTGTTGCCCGACGCCTGTTTGCAGGTGAGCCCACTACAGTTGTTATACATATCTAAAAACCGAAAAACTTTTAGGCGAAAAAGGCACTATTCCAGGCCCATTTTTGATTTTTTTTTTTGCGATATTAGGTAAAAACAGAAGCTTCTTATCCTAGGAAAAATAAAATGGGAAATCTTTCAAAGGTGGCACACTACCTTTAACCTCTTTTTGCACGGCGATCAGGTAAATGGGAGGTCAGTCGCATAAACAATAAGCAAAGGGGAAAATGTCAGTCGATGTGGCATAGTAAATGCGACTGCCGACTAGGTATTGAACCAAATACAAGGTGTCAAAAATAAATGTAACAGTGCGTGTTCGACGAAAATGTAGCTTTACCACTGCAGAGGTCAGAGTTAAAATTGATGCGGGCAGTCTGTTGGCCGCATAATACTATGTGGAACACATTTCACGGAACGCAGTCTACTCGCCCAGAAGTCCACTGTCATATTTTCGGCAATTCCACTGGGACAGGTTCCGGCCTGATAAATGTGTGACCCAAGAAGCAGTCCCGGTGCAGCCATCTGAACTCTGGAGGTTCCTGCTACACACGCAACTACTTCACATTACATTTGGCATTATGAATATTGTCAATTTTTTACCTTCTCAATATAGATACTTGGAAATTAGAATTAATAAAGAGGCATTTGCTGAAAAGGGAAAAGGGGATGTGCATTGATGAAACAGCCTGCTTCCTGTAAACCAATTGATTATGTTAGACTAGGATATGGCACAACATGGCAAATGCCACTCTAGTTTGCGACAAGTTTGGAAAGTGCTGCTGGCAGCTGGCTTAGTTTCTAGTCCTTGCCATGGTGTTATACGCACCATACTAGACTCGCGGGCCCTGCCCGCCCCTCTCGCACTGACGTTGCATGATAAAGACAACTCTTCCAAACGACGTAACAAAGTGCACGCTTCAGAAGCCATAATGGACCCAGACGCATCGTTTCTTACTCATCACACAATCTCTCTGAACCAGGGGCGCCGCCACGGATTTTTGACTGGGGGGGACGGACTGACCGACTGAAAACCCAAAACTGGACATTCTTTCCGTGGCTTTTTCGGTCGGATGCATTCAACGTTTAAAGCAAATATGCCACTTTTAACATAGGGTTTTGAACTGAAGTAACAGTTATGTAGCTTGAGCTGAGACGAGAACAAATCAGGAGCTTTTATGGCCCAACGATCACCCTAGCCAAATATATCGGTATCGATTTTAGGTTTGAAGACTGAAGTCATACCCATAGATTACACTTTGTCATTCTCTTACCGAGGAATCCATTCCCTTACGGAAAAATGCTAGCCAATCAGCATTCAGCTGGTTTGAACTACGTACTATGCTTGGTCAGCGCGTTATCAGCTTCCGCTGCAATATAGGTAAGTAGCCTCTACGAAGGATGGTAAATAGTGATGTAAAAATAAATATAAAATCCTTTTGCAAATACTCATTATTTCCTGACCATTTTAAGTCTAAAAACTCATAAAACTGTGGCAAAACAACTGGTTTGAGGAAAGTAGTTTAGGTACAGCCCACCGCTAAAGTAATGTGCGGTTTTACCCATCTCAATGGATGGCTCTGACTGGCGATTTTTTAACGCGGAGTGATCGAAAAGAAGACGTCAAAAAAAGTTGCAGCTGCAAGGGTAACGAAACAGGTTAGCTACATTCAAAGATGCATTGTGGTCTGGCTAATCATTCCTAAGCTTCAGAAGCAGAACATACCTACCCAGGACTGAAACCGCACATTACTTATGCTGTGGACTTTAGGTATTTCCTTAAAGTAATGGCTATAGACCACATTCCCACCGAGTACCTACCTATATACACATCTTATGTTCGATTCAGTTTGACACGGCACAGCCTCGTGTTCTATCACGGTATAATTGCTGGTGTATGCCACTAATATGATCGATAATGCATATTGCATAGGTAATGCATATTGCATACCAGCGTGGGAGAGGGGGCGTTGTATAGTCACAAATCTCTCTTTTTGGTGTGTGCACGAATCGGCGCGAAGCGCCGCGAAAATTGGCAAAAAAAAAAAAAACATCAGGCAAAACTGCTCCAAAATACGAATTTTGCAGCCCGTGTAACAAGCTTGATACCAGAAAACCTTAGGTCAGGAAAACCAAGTCAAGTAGTCAAGTCGCCTCAATGTTTTGTGGTCCTGTCAACCGTATAGCTTATTTCTTAGAAGCTGGAAATTTAGTGTAGCGGGACTGCAGAAGTGTGGGGTCGGAGCCGGAATCAGTCGGAGTTGACTGTTTTGGCCAGTTTTGGCCAGAGTCGGAGTTGAAGTCTTCGAAAATGTTCGGATTTTGACTTCGAGGTCGGATTGGTGTAAAGTCATGCTCTTGGCTGGTTAGACGAAATATATTAGGCCCGTGTTCGGCCAGTCGTGTTATTTTTACGACACACGTTGATCACGATATAAAAAATCGGCGGTTCCGCGATGACAGGTCGGATAAGAGCTGGAGATTTTGTTGGCCGAGGTGGCAGGGGTCAGACCAATGCATGTAGGCCCACACCCCATATACTGAGTATCTAAACCTCCTGGACCCTCTCAGATTCGGCACCGGCCGTTCCATCTCTTCTGCTCCGGGCTGGACGGGCAACTCTATCCCATGCGGGAATGGCTCCACTGGAGCTATAGTCCTTTGCCGGGTGCAGTGAGTCCAGTGGGCTGGGCTGCCCGGTTCAATTGGTCGGGTTCATCCCAAGTGGCTTACTGGGGTGGCTGCCCCGACCAATGTCTCCCACTAATTCTTTCATACTTGCGGCTCTGAAATGGTCTCATTGGACCGAAGGGCCTAATCAAATTTCGTGTAGGATAAAAACCAGTAAAACGCCTTTTGGGGCGACCAACGGAGCGAGCGAGAGGGTGGGGTGGGCCTTGCACGTGCGAAATTGCGAGGGGATACCTCCAACTAACTTGTGCATTGCACCCTTCTAACCGGTCCCTAACGATGTGCCAAATTTGAGCGCAATCGGCCTAGCCGTTCTCGAGATCTGGAAGCGGCACCCTGCACGTGCGCACGTGCAAAATGGGTCCCAACTGACTTTTGCACGGCACCCTACTAACCGGTCCCTAACCATGTATCAGATTTCAGCACAATCGGTTCAGCCGTTCTCGAGATCTGGAATCGACCCCCGCATGTGCGCACGTGCAGCAGCACCCCAACTGTGGCACACGGGTATGCATTGCCTAGTGGATATAATATACGGCCTTGGGTATACCTACCTACATGCCAACTTTCAGCGCAATCGGCCCAGTAGTTGCCGAGATATTGAAATTGTTACAAAACTGACACCTCTTCGTTTTTCACGTGGCACTGGCACGTGCATATGGGGTCACTCACATGCATCGGGAATAGTCCGATGCTCGTTAGAAGGAATGAATCTAGTGCTACCCTACAAAAATTACCGCATGTAAATCGGTCTAGTGGTTGCTGAGATATAAGCCTAGCAAAAGCGTGACCACGCCATACTCAGAAATTTCCGTTAACCTACGAAAGACTACGCTCGCTTCGCTCGCTCCGTAATGAGTTTGGGGGG